CAGCAGGAGCAGTGAAGGTATCCACACTTCTGACCTGTTTCCCTGTGCCCAGACATACTCTCTCTGCTTCTGTGCCCCACCTCTGACTCAGGTCATTGCAGTCAGGAAGACACTGGGTTTTCCTTGGAGTGGTTCTGGGAGCCCTCAGGAGTGCTATAGCCATGAGCAGTGCACTGGGCCATGCTGCACAGGGACCAACCAGCTCCTTCCCAGCAGGCCCTTGCCAAGCTCAAGAAGAGCATCAAGAAGAAACCAAAGGTGCCCAAGTGCCCACTGCACATTATATACATATCCTTCCTGAGCTTAATTCCCCACGTGCCAAAAGAAACAGCATTGTTGGCACCAGCACTGCAAACTTAGAGGACAGATGAGAAAGACCCAGTGCTGCCCTGGCTCCTCACCCTGTGGGGCTCTGCTGTTCTCCTCCAGCAAAAGCTGGGTTCCATGACCCAGGGTATGGAGGGGGGAAAGCCCAGGTGTTGGTTGGAGCCCAGCCAGGGAAATTCACTGCCTTTGGGATTGTTTTGAGGAGCTGCTTTGCTTTTTAAAAATGAAAAGCATGCTAGAGCAGCCAGCATGGGGTGAGCATCACTTCAGGGTTGGGATAGTGGTGGGTACCCAGCTCCATTTCTAGGATTTCCCCTAAGCCTGGGCTGCCCTCAGCAGCTGCAGGCAAGGAGGAAAATGAGGACAGGCAGGATGGGAGCATGGCTGGGCTCCCAGACACAGGGTTGAGGCTTTGCCTGGGACAAGCAGGGCAAGCTATAGGCATCATTTTGGGTGCTGCTACCACTCTCTGCAAACGTCCCCACCTGCTTTGCAGCCCCCTCTGCCCCTGCCTGGACTTCCCCCAGCAGGGTTGGCAGAGGATCTGCTGCCGGGCAAGTGTCAGCGGAGGCAGGGGGACAGAGCAGCATGCCCTGACCTGCTTTAGCGATGAGATCACTCCACACTCCTGGCTCTAAAGAGTGATATGAAGCTGTACATGGCCCCTGATGGCTCTTGACAGGTATGAGTTCAGCAAGAGGCTGAGGACCAGGGAACCAGAGCAGGCACGGATCCCCAGGGCTGCACTTTTATGCGTCCTTCTCCCCAAAACTGCTGGATTCCTGAAAAATAATTCCCATGTTGCTTTGCACGAGCCCAGAGGTCAAATCTGTGCTCCATTCGAACCTATGTTCTGGGGCCACCTTGGGGGCAGCTGAAGGCAACCCTTCCCACAGGGTTTCTGCTTGAGCATCCCCCAGGCATCAGCAGCATGTGCTCAAGCGTGTGGCAAGGAAGGGAGCTCACATGCATCCATGCAGGGCTCTGACCAGGGATTTACACTCCTTGGCAATGGGGACACAGGGCAGGGATGAGCAGTAACCAGAGCTGCACTACACCTGTGCTGGGCCTCCTGCTTTCACTCTGATTTAATGTCCCAGTTGAGAGGTGATGTCATTTCAGAGGCAGCCAGAGAAAAGGAAGTGCTAGAGAAGATAAGGTACTTTAACTCTACCCCTCCCAGCTTGGCTGGGTTTTGAAGCTGGGAGCTGTGTTAGCTGCCAGCCAGGAAAACATAGGAGAGAGGAAAAAAGAGATTGTTTGGAGGACACCTTTCTCTTGGGGCAGTGGGACACGAGGAGCTGCTAAAATGGAGGGTGATGGAGGACCTTGGATATTCCAGGTGGTATGAGCATGATTTTGTGCTCTACTGTGGCTTCTCCATCACCTTCACTGCCCAAACACGTGAAGTGGGTTGTCTGCAGCACAGGCAGAGACTGGGTGCCACACCAGCAGCCAGGGAGTTACTCTGGGAGTGTCAGCATAAATGCGGGCAAGATGCTGGAGAAGGTAAATTGAGAATGTGCCAAGGCTGCCCTGCTTCTAAAGGAGAGAAAAACTGAATGGAAAGGTCATTACCAAAGACTCATTAAAAGGTCTTGTTTAGCTGTGGACATGAGCCAGGGATTCTCACTGTGCTGAGTCCAGAGACTTGGACTTTCAGAAGGATCTCATGTGGGCGTCCTAATCCCTCTGACAGTTAAAGCCAGTCAAGCCCTAAAGTCTTCTCTGCCCTTTGGGTGATATCAAGCTGTATCTGCTCATTTGTGTGACTAGGAAAACCTCAAGGGAGACTGGTTGGTCTGATATGACCCAATGCCCTCTCTGTTCCACCAAGCTGGTGCCCAGATGTCCTCAGCTGAAGGGGGGTGAGGTTGAGCCACCACTAGCCAGGCCAACTCTACTTCAGAGAACCAGATCAGTGAGCAAAAGCAGATTGGGATCACCAGAGGCCTTATACAACCATGCAGGACGTGCAACAGCACTGGGGGTTTTCCAGCTCCCCGAGACGCCCACCGTACTAGCAGGGCAATGCTTGCTGCCCTGTTCAAGTCAGTGCTTTTGCCACTTGAACTGGGGACTGGCCTTCAGGCAGACTTACTCACATTTAGATCATGCTGTTGACCATGCCAGACTCCACGGCAATAGCTCAGATGCCACCTATCACAGCCCCAAATGGGGGTTTTCTCTCAGTATCAGGCTTCAAGATCATAGATGCATAGAATGGTTTGGGTTGGAAGGAACCTTAAAGATCATCTAGTTCAATACCTCTGCCATGGGCTGGGACACCTTCCAGACCAGGTCGCTCAAATCTCCATCCAACATGGCCTTGAATTCTTCCAGGGAAGGGGCATCCACAGCTTTCCTGGACAACCTTTTCCAATGTCCCGTCACTGTCACAGTGCAGATTTTTTTCCTCATAGCTAATCTACCCTCTTTCAGATTAAAATAATTACTGCTTGTCCTGCTGCTACATGTCCTTGTAAAAAGTCTGTCTCCAGCTTTCATGTAAGCCTGCCCATCTGTGCTCAAGCTGGGTATGACTGCCCAGCAGCTTGGTGGAGTAAGTTGGGCACTGCTTGCGTTCACATTCAGTAAGGTCAGAGGGTGAGAAAAAGCAATGCCCTGCAGGTCCTCGTGTGCTGGTCCAGTCCGATGTAGTGGAAATCATGGGCTTGGCAGGGCTGGGCGGAGGGGTCATGTCTCAGAAACTGCAACGGGCAAGTGTAGCTGTTGCTTCAAAGATTGGGCTGACTTCCTCAACCTGGGGAGCTTTGCACCTTGATGAGCTTGCTTGTCATCATCCTGCCCTGGTGGGTTTTGCTATCAAAAGATGACTCTGGTTGTCCTCAGAGTAGTAGGCAGACAAAAAAAAGGCTTTCTCTTCCTGTCATTTGGCTGAATAAAGTTGGGAAGGGCAGGAATGGGTGCAGAATGCCTGCATTACTATGCAGCCACAGCAGGAAAAATCAGAGCTGGGTCTTCATTCCTTTCTTCATGTGTGTGGCACGGTCATCACAGTATGTCTGCACTGGGTAGCTGGTGGTGCTTCTCAAAGCTCTATTCTCTGTGTTGCAGGGTTATCACCACTTTGTCCCCAGCCTGGGCCTCAGGTTTCCAGGTAAAGATGGTCTTGGCCTCTCTTCTATGAGCTCAATATCCCCATTTTCTTCACAGGAGGTTTTGCCACCTTCTCATCCTGCTTCCCGGGGCTCTGCGAGGGGAAGCCAGCTGCTATCCTGCCAATGAGCATCTCCCAGCCATGCTTGCCCGTGGCCAACGTTGGCCCCACACGCATCCTGCCACATCTCTACCTGGGCTCCCAGAAAGACGTCCTAAACAAGGTACAGCCCTGGCAAGGGGACACATCCACCCTGTCCCATCTGGGACCCCAGCCATGCAGAGGGGTGAGGGCATTAAGGACTCTTCTCCTGCCTAATGGGAGGACAACACGCGGTTGATCTGACCGTGCCAGGATGCTGAGGGCAGGGAGTGCAAAGGCAGAGGCCAGCAGAACTGGGGAAGGTGGTCGCAGGATGAGTCATCTTGTATCACTGAGCTTTGGGGTGGTCAAACTCTTCCCAAGTGCCTGTAGCAAACTCCAAAGCCAGAGGAGCTTGGTTGGGAAAACACATGGGTTTGGAGGGGGGGTTACCACAGCTGGAAGGGGATGTGGAATATGATACAGCTTTGCACCCACCCACCTAGCCAGCCAGGCTGGCAGTTAACACCAAGTTCAGCAACACTGCGATCGCCTTGGGAGCTTTAGAGGGTGGGAGCGAGCTGGGGTTTGCAGCAGCAGCAGCACAGGGATGGGCAGCTCTGGCCAGTGGCAGGGACTTGTTCAGGAAGCACAAAAATGAGCAAAGCTTTGCTGAGAGGAGACAAGATGGACAGTGCCCTTTTAAAGGTGCTGGAGGGGCTGTGCTGTGATGTCACGCCAGGGAAGGAATTTTGTTTCAAGGAAAAATAATGGCAAGAAGAATTCAAGAAGAATTGCAGTGAAAATGCCAAGGGGTGCCTGCCCACCGTGGGCAGGAGGAGCCAGCCAGGCATCCTGGCAGGAGAGGGGAGAGAGGGACCACAATGCCAGAGGACAGTTGGAGACAGAAAGGAGGGAGAGAGAAATTATATACAGGGAGTAGAAGGAAATGAAAGAGAAAAATGCCAAGAATGTGAGCCCGGGAGCCGGGCTGACTCTGCCAAGCTGAGGCCAGGCTCTGCAGAGCCTGCTGGGGCGGTCAGGAACCAGCTGCTGGAGAGCCAGGGCTGCAATCCTGGTGTGGTCTGAAAAGCCAATGTCAGGCAGTGAAATTGATGGTTTCCTTCCCTCCCCATCTCCTCGGAGGATTTTGTTAATCTTTTGGAACTGTGTTTTCTGCCATCCCTACGATGTGGCCAGAAGATGCTCTATTCATAAGCAGCAGAGCAGGGTCAAGTGCAGAGGTCGTGCATGGACCATGCTTCTCTCCTCCAGCATGTTGGAAAGGAGAGATCCCTCATGGCAGCTCCAAGCACTCTGACACATGAAAGGACCCTTTTTTCCCCATGTTTTCTCCTCCAGTTTAATTCTGGGTCTTCCCTGGAATAGTGCAGACCAGGCACCGAGACCCAGCATCTGGCATAAATGTCCCCCCATTTATTATAAGCAACCTGCTCCCAGTTGGAAAGGTGATACCTAAACTGATGGGAGGGGGAAAGAGACAGGGGTCAGATCATTCATAAATTCGGTGTTAGCACCACATATAGATGAAGCTGGCTGTAACCCTGGGAAGGGGGGAATGGAGGTTGGTGTGGATGCAGCCAGTAAGCCGGTTGTAACCCTGATGTATGGCCTGTGGGTCAAACCTCACCCCCTCATTGCAGTTTTTCATCTGACCCTGTTTATCTAAGGTCTCCCTTGTGCCACTGATTTTATTGATGTCAGAAATGCAGGCAGTGATGTTGGCCATTGAGTGGCCAGAGCAGAAAAGTCACAGAAAACAATTCAAAGTTCACTCCAGTGTCAGGAAGGGGGAAGAGATGGTTCCCCTCACCACCTGCCTATCTCCCAACACGAGAGAATATGTTGACAGGGGACAGCTGTGAACAGTGAACAACTAAAAAAATCTGTGAGAATTCCCCGTTTCTGAGGGGTGTGAGAGCAAAGTCGTGGGTTAACACTGGTTAACACAGGGTGCTACCAATGACTTGCCCCACTGTTGCTGAGATGCCTCCTTTCTCCCTCAGCTGATACTTGCAAGGTTTCAGCCAGAGTTTTCACTTTTTTTCATGTATTTTCCTGTTCTGCTCATTCTGGGGTTCTTGGGTTTTCCCCTCTAGTATCCCCTTCCAGATGTCTTCAGTCTTGCTTACTTTCACTTGGACCAAGGTAAAGATCTGCTGTGTCCTGTGTCATCTAAATTGACACAACATTCTCATGTGGTCTCTCCTGTACTACCATCAACTAGGCCAAGGCAGCAGTGAGACTCACAGGAGAAAATATCGGGATGGGAAAAGGCAGGGAGTGCATGGCAAGGCAGACTTTCTGCATTGGATGCTGCCTGAACTCAGCCAATGATTCTACCACTTCTTTCCCATCAGGACTTGATGACACAGAATGGGATAAGCTATGTCCTTAACGCCAGCAACTCCTGTCCCAAGCCAGACTTCATCTGTGATAGTCACTTCATGCGCATTCCTGTCAATGACAACTACTGTGAGAAGCTGCTTCCCTGGCTGGACAAGTCCATTGAATTCATTGGTGAGCTTTTGTTACAATGTTTGCAGACGCTCCAGTTCTCAGCCTTCAAAACCTGAATTCTTCTGTCCTCCATGGTATTACCCCCAGCTCCTGTTCTTTCACGTGGAGGGGTTGAGGTCTGGGGAGGGAGGGTAGAGTAATTCTGTTCACCATCGCTGACCACATAGCTGCTTTTCTCTGTTTCCTCTACTGTGTTCCAGACAAGGCCAAGGTGTCCAGCTGCCAGGTGATTGTGCACTGCTTGGCTGGGATCTCCCGGTCGGCTACTATCGCTATTGCCTACATCATGAAGACCATGGGTATGTCGTCAGATGATGCATACAGGTGAGTTTTCCCCAGAGGGCCGGGAGGGGTTACCTGGGTAAGCTTCATTCTAGGGAAGGAATGAAGACTGAGCCCAGAAGGAGAGGGTGGGAGCTCCTTGAAGCTGTGTTGCCTTGGCTAAGTCCCAGTGAAACCAAACTAAGTCAAACCTTCCTTCATTAAAGTTCACGCAACAAGGGATGGTTGGGAGTGGTAAAATGGAAGGGGGAGGCAGTCCCAGCTCTACCCCTGGGGAATCCCAAGGCCCCATGGTTCCCCAAGACCCCTGCCTTCAGAGGGTCTAGTCAGTAGGTCCTGGACAATGCCTCTTCTTTCCAAAGAGGCTGAGAAAGTAGAGGTGACTTGTTGGAGGACCAAGCACCAAACAGGGCTGTCTGTGCCTCTCGGCAGGTTTGTTAAGGACCGTCGCCCATCCATCTCGCCCAACTTCAACTTCCTGGGCCAGCTCCTGGAGTACGAGAGGAGCCTGAAGCTCCTCAAGGCCCTGAAGTCAAAGGGCGACCGGGGCGAGGGGGACGCGCAGCAGGACCCTGCAGAGGCGGCTGAGGGCAGCAGCCACCCCGCCCCACCTACCTCAGAGAAGGCCGAGGAGGTGCCAAGAGGCGCTGGCTCTGTGTCCCCCCACGGCGACCCCGAGCGGCAGGGGGGGGCCCCCACGGGGCCTG